TCATCTGGTATTCTTGCACACATTTTCAGTCCAATATTTGAGTATTCGTTTGGTGCATATTTCTCCTTTCTTTGCACAATCCATATTTTACTCATTTTCCTTTTCATCACCTCCACGTATACTACCACGTGCAAAATACTCCTATCATTTGCTTCATTTATGACACAGCCAGCACTGCGCTTCTGCAATGCACCCCCGTAATGCCTGCGTGGTATTCTGTGGCACATATTAACTCTGTAATGACGCTAAAACAAAAGGAAAGCAATGCTCACATCATCTTACAATGTGGGTTCCTACCATACCTTGGGCGAGTTCTCAGTGCCTCCTCTATTGCAAGTGACATTGGTTCGTTGAAGTAGTCATCAAATATATCACCTGTAGGATGACGGACGGCTTTCCCGAGGACTTCACACGGGCTCGAAAATCTCCAGATGTCATAGTCATTGGCGCCTGCAAATACACTATCAAAAGACCGAGTAATCCGAAATAATGCATCCTCAATTTCCTGAGCATATTCGTCGTAAGTAGACCTGGAAAAAATAGGACGAAGATTCGGTCCCACTTTGTTTATACGCTCCTCAACGATACTCCATTCTTTCTGTTGTTCCTCATCTAGCTCATTGCGGTTAATCCACACGCACATCGCCTTCAGTTCATTTATGCTGGAGCAATTCATAACATTACGCCGCCCTCGCCTCTGCTCCTCCCATTCCATAAAGGTATCCTCATCCGGGCTTGTCACCACAATCATACCCCACCCATCGGGAGGTAAATTCACCGACGGCTTCTCGTGTCGAGACATCACATCATAGATAATGTATCCCCCCAAGTTGGTGGATAGACGTACAACGGCATTCTCTCCTTCTTCAATGCTTTCGTAGCACTCCACGCGTCCTTCTTCTTCACCTCCGGTCTTGTCAAAGAGATACATTTTTCTTGCAATGAAGTATGCAACCACTGGAAGTCGTTGCTTGTCATAGTGCAACAGTTGGTAGAGGAGATACGAACCAGCTCCCATTGACTTCCCTATACCAGGTGTCCCAATCAAAATGCGCTTTTCTGGACCCACAGCATCTCCACAACAGCTCTCAAACCATTTGTCCAAATCATGCTTAATGATGCGCCAAACTCGTTCTGTTTCTCGGCCAATGTAACAGTCGTTCTTTGAATTAGCCCTGCAGAACTCGTATGGCCATCCTTTTGCGGAATTGAGTACCATTAACTGGAGGCATGGTTCGTGCGGATCCATCAGTGTCCCTCCATTGTCGTTCTCCGCGTTCTCGTTTGCCCCACCAGGAGGCGCATAGTCCACCTCGTTGTCGCTCCATTCCCTCGACGGCCTACCTTCCCTCACCTCCATTCCAATTCCCCTCCCACCAGGGACTTCCACCACATGGTTCCATGTAGCGTTGAACACAGACTCGTAGACCCCCGCCATCAATTCACCTTTCAAAACCGGAAAGAAATTCTTTGCAACTCTAAAGGCTGTGTTCAATATTGTCCTTGCTGGCAGGATAACCTGATCCTTCGCCGTGTAGACATTCCACTGCCTGAGTGAATAAACCCCGGACTCGTTGAGTTCGTCTACAACCTCCCTCATCATCATTTCCTCTTCAGTACGTGACATTTCATCCATTATTGCTATGAATAACGGCATTGCACGTATGTCTTTAATCAACTCCTCATCTTCGATGTATCTCTTAGGTCTAATGGCAAACGCTTCCATACTGACATTCTCATTGGCTTTTTCAACACCTCTCCCGCGAAGATGTTCACGAAGAAAGTCATTCAGCATCAAATTGGTTTGACGAACATTTCCTTTTAGGAGAACTTCCTCCACTGTGCTGTTGAAGCTCCACTTGGGTTCATTCACAGTCTCTGTTCCTGCATGTGATGCCGGGGGCTGAGTATCGTTGATGACTGAATCTGTTCTTGGTCTCGCCCTTCCACACAGCCGCGGAGGCTTCTTCCGCTGTTTGGCCACGGTATCTCCCACAGGTGTGCTACGCCGAGCATTCTTTTTTTTTGGAGGCATTATTCTCTGTAGCTTACTTTTTTTAAACGAAAAGAGGCAGAAACTAACCAAAGTGAAGGGGAGTGAATGAAAACAGAGAGAAAGAGAGAGAGAGTGTGTGTGTGTGTGTGTTAGATGTTGATGAACCAAATCGAGGTGCTTTAACACTCTTATTGGGGACAGTCACACAGACACACACATACCACACCGCACAGAAAATAATCGACCCAAATAAGTCAGAGTCCCCAGTCGCAAGGAACGTTGTGGATTAACTCGGCACCGCAGGGATGAACGCTGCTATGCATTCCCCATTTCCAATCCGTCAATGCATCTCCACATCCACACCCCAAAGTCTCCCTCATCACCGCTACACCACGCCACTCTCTTCACACACACACACACGCACGCACAGACGGTGGCGCCTTCATGTGGGTGCTCTCCTTCCCTCTCCATCCCCTACACAAACGCAAGGCAGTGGGCATCATCGTCGCAGTCCAGTCCCACCAAACTCTTGGAGGTATTTCTCGCCATCCCAAAGTATTCCATCGCTGCGAGCGGGAACCTGAACGGTATCCTTTCATTTCGGTGTCGTCCTGACGCAGTTGCTGTCGTCCGAATCCCAGGAAACCTTTACAAATGAGCACCCCACAAATCAACTTCCCCAGAGACCTTCAATGCATCTTCCTCTTCCCACAGTGTCAAACAACCAGCAAGCGATTCCGCAGTCTTTTCGCGCAACAGACTCGCCCCACTGATTATCGTGCCCAACTCTCTCCCTTTCATCTACATTCGCCACCAAAAACCCAAACTAAAACATTCTCGATTGAAAGCCGTGGTCACAACAACGGAAAGAGCACCGTTTAGTTGTAGCACACAATACAGTAGCTTTAACGGGCATAGGATAATGAGGTTGGAAGTGAGTAGTCGAGTCCATTGCATTCTCGCAGAGGGCCAGGCGAACAGAGCACCGCCGTCAAGCGTTATTCTCGCGTAGGGGATTAGATGCAGAGGCTAGGGAACAACTTGTGATTCTTTTGCTGAGCACGGCATCAGATCGATACACTCATGCATGAGGCACTGCTATATACACTGCGTACAGCTGACAAATTGATGGCAATTGCTGACAGTGGGCGACTCAAAAAAGCACCCAGCCCAGGTCAGCTTTCCATGTCAATTCGTTGAAAGAGGAGTTGCAAAATGTATGCCACCCAAAAATGCACACATAGAAACGCATATTCACCCTTCACGCAGCCTCAAACACAGAGTAGTTGGTGGTTTTTTGTATGGTTTTCCTTACAATTCCAATACCCCACTAGAATTGAATGTGATGCCTGAGTCACCGCCCTTTATACACCATTGAAAGATACAAGAAATCAATCCGCATTTCCCACGCTTGAGTAACTGAGGGCGTCACTGTGTATGCGTGTGGGTATGCTACAGGTCTAATTAACAGGAAACATCTGAATTCCTCTTCATTTTCATCTCACATACTCTTAATTCAAGGCGTACGCAAAAAAAAGGAATGGGAGCGGGCACAGCTGGTCTTTTTTTCCTTTCCAAGGAAGCTGACTGAATGGAGCAACGTTCCGTATCGCATCATCCTCCATGCGTACCTCCTGTAATGTTTCCAGTTCAGCCAATTGCCGACACCGCCGCAGCGAAGAAGCCGTATCCTGGCCAGTATACCGAAGAAGCGAGAAGGTTCCAGGTCACCAAACCGAAGTGGCGTTCCCCCAATGCTGAATTTGTGTGTGTTCTCACAATTCCATTTTTTTTTGTTGGGTGGAGCATGTGAACGTGGATATTCCATCCTGATTGTGGCGATCGTCCCAGCAACAAAAGATCTCCAAGAACCAAAGAAACTGCCAAGCCTCATCTATGCAATGGGTGTCAAATAGGAACGCATGTGCCACACGTTACACAGTATAAAATATTCCTTCGATAAAGTCAAGCAATAACAACAAAACTGAAGTATGTAGAATGCACAGCACCACGCCAAAGGAAGTCTTCGGCGATCGGCTCCGTGTGTTGAGACGAGTAAAGCAGTCTAACCCATGTGATCGTCTTGAGGTCAGATCACTCTCACAAGACATTGACTGCTTCTCGCAAGCCACACTTCTGCATCTTTACTCAAGCCCGTTTTTCCGGCTTTCCTTTTTTGCCTAATTCAGCATCGGAAACAAGGAGTTCAGCAAGGAAAAATGCAAGGCACCTGTTCAGCTGGCTTTTTACAGCAGCCCGTGAACCAAAAATAAAAACACAACGTACTTCCTGCCAAACTGTTGATGCGTGCAGTTTGATGATCATACAGGTGGGGAGTCCCACAGTGTTCACCAACGAAGCGCAGTCCAATTTCTCACAAGCTGGTGTCTTTATCACCCACGTACAACAAGGGACCGTGTCGCAGCCGCACAGCATTGAGTACACAACCACTCCAAGATACACTCAGCCCCAACACGATTCATCTCAATTGCTGCCTTTCCCTTTACCGTTGGTCAGCTCGGCAAGAACGCAAGCACACATCCAATAAAAACGTGTGGCAACAGCAGTGAAGCAATAATGAACGCCCCATGCCCACACCAAGGTGAGGGTGCACCTTTTAGCACACTGCCAACGATGTGACATGGCACACAGTGCAAGCACCCCCCACTTACGTAAATACAGCTGAGAACGGCAAAGGCCATCACGCAGAATTCAAAACAAGAGCATATCCAGTCCAAATCACTCAAGGCTGTCGGAAGAGAAGATCACCATGCGAAACAATTTTGATACGCATTCTTCACATCACCCCTCATGCATGTAATATATTGCCGCTCCACGCATCCCAGATATGCCAGGAGCCGCCATAAACCCACAGCTCCAAGCAGGGCCAATGAATGGGCGACCGGGAAAATGGTTTCGGTGGCACTGTGCAATGTGGTCCCAGACCCGTTCTGGTGCCTTCAGCTCCATGGCATGCACTGCAGTGCGTCCTCTGTAAGAATGTAGCTGGCCCTCAGTCTTGCTAAATGCATGTTCCCCTATCATACGCTGAATACGGGGTTTATTGAGTGCCGTCATGTGTTAAACTAGATGCAGCTGGTAGAGCATGCACGAGCCAGCCTCGTGCGGCTGGTCGACCATAAGCGTAACAATCAATGTGTGTGGTGCCGGACCCCTGGAATAACACAAGCAGCAGTCGAGACATTGATTGAAGACGCGAGGCAACAGTTCTCCACAGTTATAATGCGCTACTGTAAATAAAGCAGCTGTTTGGGCTTTTTCTCTTCCTGTTTTATTTTTCTTTCACTCGACACCACATTATAGTGAAGCCTATCACTTCTGAATGAGGTGAAAACGCATCAACGGCGTGAGAACCACTTATACAGGGTTATTCCACACATGTGTCCCACCTCGCAGCATTGTTCATTTTTCTTTCGTCAGTTTTGCAGCAAGGCAACGAAACAGTCATGGCTCACGTTGGTTGCCAGACAGACTTCACTAGTTCTGCAGTGCGCACAGCAGCATCAGGTAACCCTCAAAAAACAAAATGCATGTCCCCAACAGCGCCTGCTGAGGCAGCGATGGTCTCGCCACCCCGAGTCAAACCCGCATCACTCCTCTCTTGTTAAATCACCCTTTACACGACAACCTTTCAACTTCGAGGAAAAGATTGAAGGGGCCCAAAAATAAAAATGCGCTTGGAATCCACAACAAACAGGTGGCAACCACACCAAAGGGGTTTGCCAAATACCGGGTGAGTCAGAACAGGCATAGATTTCCGCTTTCTTGGTGTTACTCATCGCAGTTTCCAACGGCACTCGGCCACATGAGCAAGCAAACACCGTGTATGCCTTAGCCAAGAAGACCCTCCAATATAATTTATATGTGTGTGTATAGGGTGACCCAGAAGCTTTCCCCAAACATCAATACGGCACAGATTCCAAAGCTGCCGGATACCGCATGCGCCCATGCACCTATCAGCCCTCCTCGTGGATCATCTAGGAATATTATTCTTCATGGGTGGAAGCATAGAACAGCGGGGGAGAATCCGCAATGCTTCGGCCTTCACACCACCCAGGGGTCCACCGCGTTGAGTGCCCTGGAGCACTCAGTTGCCGCTACTCGGTACCATGCCAGTCATGGAACCAAAAACACGCTTGAACAAAAAAGAATATTGACGACGATTCACCCACTGGCGGCGCATCACCTCCGCGTGTCACCTCTCGCAGGTAATTGCCAGGATCCCAGCCCATCAACAACACAAGCGTCATGAAGCCAACTGAAATGCAGATAATACCACGAAAAAAACAAAAACTTCTTTGCATTACAAAACCATTAATGAAGTGCAGCTCCACTCATCAAACGTGCTTCAGTTCCACTCCAATTCATCAGGCCTTATGGGTGCTGAAAGAGGAATAACACTGCTCTTGCCCCTCTCTCTGTCCCGGGGCATAGCCTTGCGCATATCCAACGCATCCTCAGCATCTTTAAAATTGCCTTTGGAACCCTCACCCTGGTAATAGCCCAGTACGCGTCGGTACACAATGTATCCCAGTTTGTGGTACATATCCTGTGCAACCTTGTTGCTCTGTCGCACAAACAAGTCTACAAAATAGGCGTTGTGAACCTGTGCCGTGGTGGCTTCCAGCTCCTTCATAAGTGCCTCTCCCAGTCCAAGGCGACGAAACGTTGGTGCCACTGTAACGGCAGAAACGTGCCCGTGAAAATTCTCTCCCTTCCCTTCAGCCTTTCCAAGTGTGTACGCCATAGGAATACCAGTAGTTGGGTGAATACAGATGCGTTGGTACTCTGGCCAGTGTGTTCCGTACTCACCGTAGAATGAGGTACTGTACGTCTCGGTCAACTGATCAAGGTTGACAAAGTTGAAGCTCAAGATGTCTGTGAGCCTAAAATCCCTGTATGTTGTCATGCTTCTTAGAAACTGCTGTGACGAAAAGTTCAAAAAAAAAAAATAGCTATGTATATGTCGCACTGCAAAAAAGAGACACATTTGCAGAGAGATAAAACAGGAGCCGCACACAAGGCCAGGCAGTCAAACTCTCTTTCGTTTTCACTTCGATTTAGTCGCCTCGTTACCATTCCAGTGAAATTACGCGTCAAATTCCGTAAAATGAAGTGCCCTGTGTGTTGGCTCATCGCGCTTCTTTCGCTCGTACCAGTCGCGCGTCACTTTACGCTGCTTCTGAACAACTGTGCTTCGGTACCGATCGTCGTTGCGTACCTCCACCTGTAGCCTCTTTCGAGGTCTTCCATTTACTTCCTCTACCGCACGGGAAGAAGTTTCTCTGGAAATCTTCCTGTCCTCTCGGATAATACTCTGAAGCTGCATTCGAACCTCACTCGGTTTCTTGTCAACACCGAAGCTCTGCGCAACGTGGCCAAGGTGAAGGGAATCGGAATCAAAGAAAAGCCGCTTAAGTTCCCTGGAGTGACCCGAATAAGCTCGTATATACGACTGGTACGCAAACAAAGCAAGTCGTGTGAGATCATCATTCTTGCCGTCATCATCGTCCATGGAGCTGCCTGCATCTGCATCTCTCTTCATGACAAGGCGACTGATGGCGCGCTCCAGAGTAGCTGTGCTGTGCATCCACATGTGGTTGGCCTTTGGATCAAGTTTTGTGAGGTAGAACAAGAACGACTCATACTTCTTCTCTTCAATAAGTGCTAGAGGCGTCTTGTCCCCTCCGGAAGTCGCCTTACTCTCACTTGCGATAAAGTTGCTCAAGTAAGAGGCATACCCTTCCTCGTGCGGCATGAGGAACAGCATGGAATCGCCAACGTTTCCAATGCGAGCGGTGCGACCAATGCGGTGCACATAGCAAGCTGGATCGGTTGGTGGATCGTAGTGTACAATCCAGTCCACCTTGGGCATGTCTAACCCCCGGGTAGCCACGTCCGTGCAGAAAAGAACGCCCTTACCACTGCAGCGAGCGCTGTTATCGACATCCTTGAAGGCGTGAAAAACGGAGGCGCGGTCAACCTGCGTCATATTGCCATGCAGTTTAAATATGTTGACGTCGAGTATGGCATTTGTTTCTGAAAGCGTTTGTGTCTCACCCTCATCCTCATTGTCCGAGTCTTCGTCAAAAGTCACCACATCCTCGCTATCGTCATAGGTGTGCCTGTTGGCCTCTTCCGTCCGTTTTTTTAGACTATATCGGTGGGCGCGCTGCTGAGGAAGGCCGTAGTTTCGTCCGCCCTTTCGCACTCCAGCAAAAGGGGATTTTAGTCTCGACAACAAGAAATAATGAAATTCCGCGCTGTCCGCTGTGGAAACGAAGACTATTATCTTTTTTCGCACCAGCATCTAATTGAGAGCGAAGAAAGCAGATGAGGGTAGCGAGTCAATGCTTCGCCGGCACCAGGGCGTAGTGCTGGCAAAGCGGCGGAGGAATAGAAAAGTTGCCTTTTATTTCACCCACGCGAACAACGCGGCTTCGCAGAGCAAAATGCGAGAACCGTTCCAAAGCCTCATTTATTGCCGCCGGCGTCAAGACACGTTTGAGGCAGCGGCTTCCATGGATTTGGCCCTGCGGCCTCGCCCCCCGACGCCCCGAAACCCCAACCCTGACCAAAGGTAGTTCCACAATTTCCCTGAGGGCGCGCCGGGGGCGGCGTCCAGCGATCGAACCGTCCCGCCGGCNACCCCCCCCCCCGGCGGGGCGGCCCCCCCCCCCCCCCCCCCCCAGAAGGCGGAAGGACGCCGCGTTTTTGATGCGGCAAAGGCCCGCCCTCCGCCCATCCGATCCCTTCTCGTTTCCCCTTTCTTGTGAATGGGTTTGCCGCCCGTTGTCTCGTTGGCGTGGGCCGTTTGCTTGCCGTGTTTTGGTGGTCTTTTAAGCAAACAGCTGCCGACCGGATGGTCATCGGAGAAATAACCAGAGTTCTTCTGGGTCGTTGGTGCTTTTCTCTTGTCGGCGGCGGCTTCTGGCTTAGACATGTATTCTGTGTAGCTGTTGTATTTTTAATGGGGCTTTTTGCTGCTTCACTGTGTCTTCTTTTTTAACCCCTCTTTGAAAAGAGAAACCTCTGGCTTTAATTAGACTTGAGTGGTATTTTTGGCGGGCTACGAGAAAGGTGTGTCGTGCTATATTCTTGTATTGACTTTAATTCAGCCCGTAAGTCAATTAAAGCGGGCTAGGGAAAGTCATTTTTATGTATGTATCTTACCCAACTACTTCAGCATGCATTTCTCTTATCGGAGGTAAATGAAAAGAGTCCTTTTGCCTCCCCAATTATACGATGAAATGATCGAAAAGTTAGAGAGGAAAAGCTTCGTGGTTGAAGCATTCATATGGACATAATGTGAAATTAGGCATACATGATTATCTTTCTATTCATTAGGCCGATTTTTTTTGGTATCTTAAAAAGCAGGCGAATGCAGTCAAGATCTGTTTTGTATTAACGTGTTCGACTACCGTTTTCGGTTGCTGGAGACCGAAGGCGTAACTTTTCGTGCAGTATATAGATGCTCCATGACGTGTGAAATTAAAATAAAATTTGGGAAGTGTTTCTTTTCACACAACGTTTTGAGTGGGTGGCACACTAAGGAGGGTGCGTCGCATCAAATGTTTTCTTCCTAGAATGCACAACTTGCCCCCTGTTTTTTTTTTTTGCGTCGGATAGTTTAGATTGAGAGCCAGTCTATGCTGACCCTCAAGAAGGATGTATGTGGTGTCCTGCTCTGCGATTTCAATAAAAAAAAATGCGTTTGTGGGAGAATTGTTGGTGCTCCTCTTTGTTTAGTTAGCTGTTGATGAGCGTTAAACAAAACTTCATTTCTGGGCGTTTTAAAATTATTATTTGCTCTCAGGGTCGCTGTCTATACCTAGGTTGATTGTGTCGCGGTGGTGATGGATTTACTTCCGTGCATTATTTTTTGCTGTTTATGCCCCATTTTAGGGTCCATCTTAGAGGTATACGATGCGGGGTCAGTGCAAGAGTCTAGCTGCTGGCGTGGACAGGAAGAATGTTTAAGAAAAACTGCTTGGTTGCGTCCGAAACGCTTGGGTCTTGTCTTGTCAATTTTATTTTCTTAGCTGTCGTGTTTCGGTCTTTCTTTGTCTTATTGGGCGAATTATGCTGCCAGTTTCGCTGCTTTTAGATGGCGAAATGAGTATGTCGTATTTAGTTTAAAAAAAAAAGAAGATGCATGATTTTATTTGGCGTGTGGGCCCCTGGTTGGTATAGGGTGTCGATGAGAGATGCAATGTTTTCTCAGGTTTGGGCCAGGCACTTGGTGGGGTATATCATTCATGTAAGTAATGAAGAATATATTCAGCACATATGGTGTGGGGTTTTTGCTTTTTCTTATGCACAGGAGCAATGCACATTTCCGTGCTTATAATTTCTTGTCGTCTTTCTATCTTGTTATTTTGGCTTCTTATAAATATATGTATTATGTGTGTGGGTGCCTGTCTAGTATGTTTCTACATGAATTCGCAACCAGAGTTAGGGAAAAAAGCTCTGAGGACTCGCGGTGGGGGGAGTTTTGCGGATCCAGACGCCATACAGCTACACGGCAATGACTTCTCCTGGAGTGAGAAGATGGAAGAGCTGAGCAACGATGAACGACAAGTGGTGGAAGAGTATCTTCAAAACTGTGAGCAAAAACTGGCGCGATTGAATGGGGAAAGTGCAATCGCCTCTGTGATAACCTCTAGTTGTGGGGGTAGTTTCTGGGATTCCCACTATCAGATGAACAGGCGGCATTTTCCGCTAAAAAATTACATTATCCTTGCATTTCCACTACTGAAAACGGTCTGCTCCTCACAAAAACAGGGTGAGTTAAGGTATGTTGTTGAGTGTGGTTGTGGAACGGGAAGTACGCTTTTGCCTTTGATGAGGCAATTCAAGGAAGATGTTCATTTTGTGGGTTTTGATGTGTCTGCCAGTGCGGTGTCTATATTTATGGAACATCCTGTAGCCAAGGAATTTGCTGAACAGGAGCGTCTATCTGCATTTGCCTACGACATAACCGTTTCACACGAACGGTCCACAGATGAGCCAGAAAAAACCCGCTCTCGAACAGAATGCGGTGGCTTAAGAAGTGCACTTTTAAAGAGGGCTCCTGGTTGTGGTCGTGGCGTGGATGCTGTCATTCTCGTATTTGTTCTTTCTTCCTTGACTACGCTTGAATCAATGGTTTTCGCCCTGAAACAACTTGCGAGTGTTATGAAAAAAGACTCAGTGCTTTTGTTTCGTGACTATGCAGTTCCAGATCATAATTTATTCCGTTTTGTGAAGCAAAACAATGGGAAGGTTAATGAGCTGAGTTTCTGCAAGGGGGATGGTACATTTCAAATGTTTTTTGAGCTGGGTTTTACCAAGCGGCTTTTTGCATTGGCAGGGTTTGAGGAAGTTGACGGTCATGGCTTGCAGTACCATTGTAATCGCTTAGTAAACCGAAAGAATGGTAAGAAAATGGACAAGGTCTTTATTAATGGTAGCTTTCGGCTTTCCATGAATTCTGACAGTAAGTAATGTTTCTGGAAGAGAAGGGACTGTTTCATTTTTGCCATACATGGCTTGTATTTGACTTTAACAAATCGTAAGAATGCGCTGATATGTTGTGTATATTATTTTCGCTTCTTTGTTTGTCTGCTTCTGAAGAGGATTGCTTTCAAGAATGCAGGATGGAGGATGTGAGGTTGCTCCTCCGTCTGGGGAGAAAGAGGAACGAAAGCGTTTTGAGTTGAAGCGTTGGAACGCTGTGGCTCTCTGGTCTTGGGACATTCAGGTGGAAACGTGTGCCATTTGCCGTAATCACGTCATGGACCTCTGTATCGAATGCCAGGCCAATCAAGGTGCTGCTCCGACAGACTGCAACGTTGCATGGGGAACGTGTAACCATGCTTTTCATACACACTGCATATCTCGGTGGTTAAAAACACGAAATGTGTGCCCTCTTGATAACAAAGAGTGGTCTTATCAAAAAATAGGAGAGTAGATACCAATGGTCGGATTTTTCCTTCCCGTTACTCCTTGTTGTTTGCTTATTGTGATTCATGTTGGGGTGATATGTGTGTTACAGCATTTTGCTTTCACATTCAAATTGTGTCTATTATTATGATTATTTCTGTTGTCATTCTCTACCTTCTCTTGTTTTCTCGTGCGTACTAGATGAAAGGGGTACGTGCTCTGTGGAACAAATTACTGTCTCGGTCAGTTTCTCTTACTGAGTCAGGAAGGAATTCACTTAAGGAGGGGCTTCTTTCTCCGCCACATTCTTTTGATTTGCACCATGAGTTGGGGTCTCGTGAGTTCACGCTGTATACAGAAAACCTTAGTGGTGCAGAAGTTTTGATTCATTGCAGTGTTGATAACCGTGGGCTTCGTTCTTTGAATGGAGGCGAAAAGGAAAAGATTCGCAGTCAAAGGGCTCATTTCAGAACACGCCTGCAGAATTCTACACCAAGGACATCTCCGGTCGAAGTATCTGCCTTTGTAAGTGTACCACATACTGCATTTACGGTTGAGGCATCTTGTAGTTGCTTGCTGGGTTTACTTGTTGTGGATGGTGTTGTTATTCATAGTGGTTGCATTACGGAGTCGCTGGTACCACGGGATGGGTATTCGGCGTGTGAAATGGTGTATCATGGGCCGTTGCTTAGCCAGAGGGCGCTTTCAGAGTCTCTGATCAATATCAGAAGTGGTGCTAACCCCTTGGATCCGTACAGGCAGGAACAGGCTTTCTTTTTTGACAGACACGTACGACCTTGGAGCTCGCGTTTTACGCGTTTCGGTCATGTGCCAGTTCACACGGTGCAGCCGCGATTCGCCAATGCCGTGTGCAGTTTTCTTGAACGGTTCGATGTGGACGATGAAGTTGCGGTTTTTGCGGAGCGCTTTGCTCATGTAGTGCAGAAGAGAGAAAAGGAAGCATGGACTGGAGTTCTCAGGCGTACAATTGGGGATAAAACAAGGCGTTGCCTAGCGTGAATTGCTGGTACTTGATACTTGCATGGTACTCATTGTTGTTGGTATTTTGTCTTTTTCGTATGTTTGTGGTTCTTTGAGTCGACTATTTATTATTATATTGTTATCATTATATATATATATATATATATTGTCTGCCTTGTGTCAGAGTTGTTTGAGCAAAGACAGTGCACGAAGGATGGATAGGCTAAAATTGAATACGAAGGCTCTGCTGGGTATGGCGACGCGCACCGTTGATCAGGACCATGGCATGCGGCATACGTGCGTCAAGTCATTTAGCCAGGCTATTCTTCAGTACGAAAATGCAATGACCAAATTTGTTGCAGCCTTGACGACATTATCAAATTCGATAGAAGGCGTGGAAAAGGCGTACAAAGATATTATTGTTAACGAAAAACAAGTTTCTGTTATTGACGGTATGAAAGAAATAGTTACTCGTCTCGAAGATGTTCGCTTAACCGTTTTCGCCGAATCTGTGGAAGCATTCAAGACAACGGTTGCTCCGTCCTTGTCTATACTTAAGGGTGAATGTGATACATGCGATCGGATTCATATTGAACGAGCCAAGGCTGTTGATTTGTATGACTATCATCGGGATGTAGTGGAGAAGAAGGAGGTACAATACGCGTCGAAGGGCAAATCGCTGGATGATTCGAAACATTACAAGGAAGAAGTGAGCAAACGTGATGCAGCAAATGATGAGTATCAAATGAAACATACAGAGTACAACAAAGCATATGATCAACTAATGTGGAGAAAGTCCGAGCTTACGTCACTTTCTGCGAAATTGTATCTACATTGTTTTTCTGATCTTTCAGAAAAGCTAAATCGTGAAACAGTTCACATGTGCTCTATCCTTGATGACATTTCGATAACGCCGATGAATGATGAGGAAACTAGAACCTTGTTTTCACGCGAGGTGTCTCCCCCTGTTGACGCTCCTGAATATGACGCTAAGGAGGAGCCCAGTGAAAATGGGGACTCTAGCCCCCTGGTAGGAAATGAAACTTCGGTTGGGCAACCCCTCGCGACCGAATACGAGGCGGTTAACGGCAATCCCGAAGCAGTTCTTGTTACTGAGAAGAAATAGATCATTGTAAATCCAATACACATTCTCTAGTATTGCGACGGTTATAGTGCATTTTTGGGTGAAGTGCAGTGAACCAGAGAGGAACAGGTTTCACCACCGCAATATAGTTATTTGCTTTGATGCGACGATAAAAAGGCGCATCTGTAAGAAACCGATATGTTTGAGGGTTAGTGAGTAACGTTAGTGAATGGTACAAAGTACTATACCTGGGTTTTAGCGTAGATGTGCTGAGAGACAAACTGCAAACTGATAAGCAACTGGTGGCTTGCCGTGTTGTTGTGCCTTTCTCCTTTTTTTTTTTTGCTGCCCCCTAATATCAATGTGCCCAGTTGTGATGACTAAGTCGTCCTGAATAGGGCTGGGAGTGGTAATATTGTACCTCAGGGCGCCCTTGTCCCGATGTGTGCTCTGCGTCCAGTTACCCGTAAAGGAGCAAACACTATTTGAGGAGTCACTTCTCTCTCTCTCTCTCTCCTTTTCTTACCCTTTTATCTTTGTTCCTGATGTGTAGAAAGAAATTTGATCATCGTCAATTCTACAGCAGGCACATAATGAAAAAGCTCATGCTGGATTCCAAGGCCACTCTCGGGTTGGTGTCTGACAAAACTGTCGACGATGACTACTCCAGGGTGAACGCTTCGTTGAAGGCATTCAATGAAACGCACAATGCATACAACAATTCTATGAATAAAACGCGGCATGCCATGAAGGAGGTCGTCCGCTCCCTGGAAGATGCGTCAAAGGCGTTTGAAAAGCTCGCCGACAACACAAACGCCCCAAAGGAGGTCAAACTGTTCGCGACGGAATTCAGGGTGGCCGCACAGAAAATTGGAAATGAAGTCTTCACAAGGTACGTTGAGAGCATGGAGAAGGATGTTAACAAGGCCGGTGGGACCACAAATGCAGACTACACCGAGTGCGTCCACCTCGAACAACAAAGGAATAAGGCTGTGAACGAGTACGATGTTTACCGCAGCGCCGTCAGCAAGAAGGAAGATGAATATGCAAAGAAGGGCAAAAACCTAAGTGACTCCAAAAGTTATAATGAAGAGGTGAGACAACGCGATGAATGGAAAATAAAGTATGAGGTTGCAGATGCGTCACTTAAAGAAAAGTACGCCGCGTTGGAAGCAAAGAGTACAACAAACAATGTTGCTTCTGTAACGGAGTTCATCGGCTGTACAAACACATTTTTATTGGAGCTAAGTGAGGAGATGAAGCACCTGCAAAAAATGTCGTCGAATTTGGATGCGTAGTGCCCAAGAGGCCTTTGTGCTTCCTTCATGATTACCACAGGAACGCCGATGATTCTATTCTTTTTTTTTTGTTTTTTTTTTTTGTGATTGTGACTGCTATTTCTCCGAGTACGTGAAAAAACGAAAAAAAAAAGAGGAGATTATTTTCTCCTTTTTTGTTAATATTGATTCCATCTTTGTTAATAGTAGAGGTTCTGTTTTATTCCTTTATTGCCTTGGTGTGGAATAAAGGCAAAAGGATATGCGAATCATATGCATTTAAAGCTCAGTGCGTAATTCCTATCTTTGGCGAGTCTCCTGTAAACTTCTGCCCTTGGGCCAATAGCATTGCTGTGCCCCCCTTGTGATTCATTAGAAAAAAAGAATTAGTATGCCTTCGTCGAGGGATCCATTCGATGAATCTGTCAGTGACCTTCGCGAGCTGGTCGCAAGGGCAAAGAATGCGCAGGAGTCGGTGAGGACGAAGGGTCTGGTAGACCGTGGCGTTGTTGCAGATGTGCAACGCATACTGGATGCAGCAGATGAAGAGCTGGAGCTCTTGAAAAGCGTTTTACAAGTTATCGAGGAGCGCAATGGCAGAGTAGGAGGACAGGTTTTTTCAGTGAATGAGGTGCTTCGGCGTCAAGGGGTTGTTCGTGATCTTGAAGAGGAGTTGAGAGGTATTCACACGTTTCGTGATGTGGTGGAGGAAAGAGTGGAGGATATGGAGAAAAGAAATCAGGCGATGAGTTCTGTTGGTAGCCACGCTAATGACGAGTTTTTTTTGGACCAGGAACTTGCACAAAGAGAGGAACAGCAGCAGCAGGACATGATACTGGATAGGCTTGCGTACGGCCTTCAGGAGATACGGGAAACCGGAATTAACGTGAATGACGAGCTGCAACAGCAAGAAGTGTTGCTGGAAGAAGCTCAGCGGGATGTCGACGGCGTTCAGACGCGTTTGCGTGTTGTCAACGCGAAGGTTGACAAATTACTTGCCAAAATGTCAAACAAAGGGAAGATCTGCACAATTGTGTGCCTGATACTGACACTAGTGTTTCTCCTCTTTCTTGTGGGCGCGTGAGCCGCGATGTTCGGCATGGGCTTGTGAATTATTCTGGAGAGATTTTTTGTGTTTCGTGGTCACACTGGCATCTCGTTTACACTAATTTTTTTTCTGTTTTTGCTTCTCTATAGCTATCTATCTCCCCCATCCTTTGGTGGCTGACAGACAGTGGAGAAGTAGAACATGGAGGATGCTGTGACCCTTTCGGTGACGTTGCGACGTGCCTCCCCCGTGACGCGACGCCGAGTTTTGGTTATTGCTTTTGGTCTTTGCAGCCGCGGGAAGAAGAATAACACTGTGCTGTCTCTGGCGGCCATCACGACAATGCTGGAGTTTGCCATGTCTGGAAGGCCTGCGCGCTTTATTTTTGCAACTGGTGGTAATGCCTCTGTACTCCGAAGTCACGACAGAGGCGGTACCTGGCGGGTTACGTACAGAGCCAATGAGGCGAAATGGGACCCCGAAAAGGAGATTGCGTTGTCCGATGGTGTGGATACCATGGAAGACGTGGCGAAATTCGTACCACCTGCGAGGCTTGAAGAGATAAAGAGCGAGAGCAGAGAATTACCCACGAATAAGTTGGAAACCCAAATTTCACACATAGCGACACTGAACGACATTGTGGCAGTGTGTGGTAGTAACGGCTTTCTCGCAGTATCCGCGGATAGGGGTTTGACGTTTGTCCCGTTAGAGAGAGATGTGCTACTGGATTTGTTGAAGGAGAGTAGAACAATTTCTACTTGTGATTCGTGGCGGGTTGGAGGCGTTGCTTTTGTCTCGGAAAGGTTACTTGTCTTTTTCTATAAAAAGCACCTTTGTTCGGTGGAGCTTACTTCTCGGGGGTTTGGAAGTGTGTCCTTTGGAAAGCTCAGCGTGATTAGGGAGTTCTCCACCTCTATTGTTTCTGTGCATGCATTTCAACGTGTTGCTACTGACGTGCGTGAGTTGTTTGTGTCGACCAGAGGGCTTTTGCATTATTCATGTGATGCAGGAGGCTCCTTTATTATGTTTCCACATGAGCTTGGTGTCATTCGCGTCGTTGAACCACTGGATATTCTTTGTAGACGTAACGAGGTTCCCCAGGTGCCTAAAGGTCTAGTCGATCCTTTGCTGGCGACAACAACGGAGCATGCGTCCGGCAGAAAACGGGAAAAGTATGTTTACAGAGCTGTTTCCCGTGACTTTCGTTCAGTTGAAAATGACGGCGGTGAATACACAACGGAAGACACCAGTGATGAGGCGGTGATGTCTGCACTTCCACACTTCTCAGAAGGTGTTCACTATCGTGTCTTTTTGGTTGCTGGAGTTGGAGCTCCGATATTGCCGTACGACTACACAGCCATTTTGTTTATTGCTGCCTCTTTGGGGAGCTCAACCGATCAATCTCGCATTGTTGGATCCCTGGCGGAAAAAGTAGAATACGTACCCTATATCAGGTCGGGTGTTGATGAGCCCATCTCTATTGCTGTATGTCGACGGCCAGGTCCGGGAGGATGCGTGTTTGCACGGAGCAACGCTTCGGGTATTAGTTTATCTACTGACATGGGTGTGTCGTGGACAGTTCCCACTCAAGCATACACTGTGGCAGTCGTTGCTGTGGATGGAGGTGAGTTTGTTTGCTGCAACCGGCGGAGTTTTGTCATTACTATCACTGAGAAGGGTAGCGATGTTCACTCTGTGTCGACTGACCTACGTGTTCCTTTCTTGACAGATGCTGCGGTGATGCTATGACAACGGCCTTGCCCTATCTTGACTTTGTCTTAGGAAACGAAGGGGATCACTCTTCATGGGGCAGTCGTGTTTTCGCACTCATGACGTACATGAAAAGAGTAGTCCCAGAGAACATCATACAACCTCTGCGTCAAGGCGGGAGATTAAGTTGGCGACAGGGGGTGTAGAACTCTCTGAAATTTCAAAGGTTGATTCACAAACTCGACCTACTGGCACGTTTACAGAGGCGACAACGGTACGGTGCCACCCTTATCTTAAAGGTGATGCCGTTGAAAACCCTGAAGTGTTAAATCTACTGTCAGTACAACCCAAATCTATGTCCCCAAAATATCGAGGCTTTCCGGGCATCTTCAGGAATGGCACTGCAGCATTGTCGCTGCGTTCGTGTGAGGAGGCAAATATGCCCCACCATTTCATTGTGGGAGGTGAGGATGGTAATATTGTTCTCGTTGACTATGAGTCAGGAGAAACGGTTCGTCGATGGTCTGGGGCTCACGGGCGCGATGTGAATTGTTTGACAAAGCCTCTTCATAGTGGTATCTTTGCTTCAGCTAGCCGAGACAAACTTGTTAAGGTTTGGAATCTTCAAGGTGACCAGCCTCTGTGCGAGCTGCAAGGGCACACTGTAAATGTGACAAGCGCCACTTTGAATTTGGATGGCACTTTTCTTGTTTCAGGAAGTCGCGACAATACAGTTCGTCTGTGGAATGTGGAGCGGGCAGAAGAAATGGAGTGCTGCGACGTCAAACAGAACATCGTGCACTTTGTGCAGTGGGTACCTCGGTTACACTGTGTGGCGCAAGGCGGAGAAGATTTGACCCTGCGATTGTGGGATATGCGAATGAGCTTATGTGGTGACGAAATAGTGGGACTGAGACTCTCTTCCACGCTTAGTTGCATGGACTATCATCCCATATGCTGTGAGTTGATGCCGAATGCTTCGGGATGTACACTGTTGACTGGGCATAACGGATTTAATGGCTATGGAGCTTACATAGTAGAGTGGGACTTGCGCATGCAAAAACGTGTGCGAACCGTTTACGGTCACAAAGGTACCGTTCGGAGTATCTCTAGGTGTATTTTGCCAGAAACATCATCTTGTCAGCAGCAATTCGTAAGCGGAGATGATGATGGGGCCCTTGCCTTCTTTTCGACGGATCCCAGCACTGGCGAAACAGATGTTAACATTGAACCAAGGAACATCTGCACCCTTCCTGAAGGTGGCGTTACGTCTCTAGATGCTTACACTGGCGGAGATGTTTTGGCTTCCACGCGAGATGGGACCGTTATTGTTTTTTCGCCAAGAAGTCGGAAAGCAGGACTGATGGTGCCTATGGAGCCCTTCAGATACTTTGGAAGTGAGGGTTTATCACAATAACAAACTGGTACCCACATGGAATATGTGATCACCACCGCCACCACCGATAGTGATCTTCTCTGTTTTAAATGTCTCTTTTTTTTTCAGGTGCTTTCACTTCTTCCTCTTCATCATTATCTTTTTTTTTCGGTTCAACTGGAGAGTCTGTACAGTTGTGGAAGCAAAAAAAAGTGATGATAAACAAAGCGGTCGCATTGCCTATAGCAGAGGATGTTGATAACGCTCGCTCCCTCGCCGTGAAGGGAGATCGTGGAGCAGCCGTATACGCAGCGCATGAGCGTCTGGAGGAGGATTTAGCAAAACTGTCCGCTGTCATTGCCGACACAAAACGGTATACATCTTCTGGCATGGATCCGTGGGCAGCTGTCTCTTCGACCATTGGGTCTATTTGCCAAGAGGTGGAGCTATGTCTGCAGTTATTCAGCACTGGTGTGAGGATGGAGCGGTCAAGAGGTCTTCGGACTGTTACTATTCTTTACGATTCACGGAAGTGTCCCGCCGATCGATTGCGTGGCTTTTTTCATGTGGTCCTGGCAGCCTTTATTGTCGATGACTTTGCAGCGGTTATGCCGGCCACGGTTGTGTTGAAGTTTGCGCAAGCCGTTCGCGTTTTCGATGCGCAACAAGCCGCTGAGTGGTTAAGGTTGGGCATTCAAGGCATGTTAGATGCGCACAATGCCTCTGAATCGTCTGACTTGCCTTCGTTCTCGGAGAAGCTGCGTTCCTTGTCAGCGTTTGGTGGGTGCAGTTCTGCATCAGCACACACACAACCAAAGGGTACAAATTCTGTCATGGTGTCCATGCTGACCCTCTTGGTTAAGTGTGAGGCAGAGACTGGGGGTACCTCGACGGAGGTACAGGAGAGAAAATGGGATCTTCGTGACTTTGTGGAAGAAGATGTTCTGGAGTCTTTGTTGCGCTTTGAGGTTGAATGCACTGCTATGATGAAGGGGAAAAAGGAACGTATTAGACAGAGAATAGAACAACGTGGCACCAAAAGGCAGGTCGCGGTGCCTCCTCCAGTGTCAGCTCCCGAAACGACAGATAGTAAGGTTGTCTCACGCAATGGCGGTACATCTCGCTTTGAGTTATTGCATCGTTACGTTGAGTACTTTCTGGGTACTGAATGGAAACAGCATCCCTCTCGGGCAGTAGTAGCAGTCGCTGCACTTATAATAATATGCATTTTGCTGCGACGAGTGACTTCTGTTGTGGTGGCCGGCTGGGGAAGTATTCGAAGATCGTCTTATGGGGCGAGGAGAACGCTTACTCTGTGAGAACAGGGTCCTCCCTCGTCTTTCTCGTATTCTTGTTTTCACCGTTATACCTTACGCCGCTGAAAAGGTTCATCCTTCGGATATATATATATATATATATATAATTGTAGTTGCTGCTGTGTTTGATGCTACCCTTTCTCAGGAAGAACTGCAAAAAGGGAGTTGTACAGTCTTTGCTTTCTTTTCACTCTTTTTTTTTCTGTTTGTGTTTTCCTTGTTGTTGTTCTTGTCCTGTGAGGTACTATATCAGCAGATTGTTTTGGGTCTGCAGAATAGGGAGATGATTCCCAGCAAGTACAAGGTTCTTCTTATTTTCATACTCTTCACGCTAAATAATGGGTTCGCGTGGCTCATGTTTGATCCCGTTGCAGGGTGGCTTGAAGAGAACTTCAAGGGAATGTCAGTGAATCAGCTGCAGATTCTCTCCTCGTGGCAACCGCTGGTGTTTCTTGTGATGTTCCTTCCCGTCATGAAAATGGTTACGCAACCAGATGGACTTTGCCGAGCGGTGCGTCTCGGCGCTTCATGTGAGATGGTCGGTGCGGCATTCAAGCTAGTGGGCGCGACTGCGCGCAATTCCTGGGTCGGTGTGCCTCTCCTTCACGTTGGTCAAATATTCAGTGGAGTGGGTTCACCGGTGGCGACGGGGTGTGTTTCCGCACTCTCCGCCATCTGGTTTGAGCCGGAAGAGAGGACAAGGGCCACGGCAGCTGCGGTCTTGTCAAACAGCGTGGGGAATTCAATCTGCTATCTTATCGTGCCGACCATGACGGATGGAGCCACATTCGTCTCCGTAACGGTGTATGAGGTCGTAATGGGCGGCATTGCAACAGCACTCGTGTGGTTCGTCTTTCCCACACAGAAGCTGCCCCTCGAGGAGGAGTGCGTCGCACAGCCTGCAACCACGAAAATCCTTAAAAAGGAGAAGAAGCCTTTGCGTAAGCAGCTCTATCAACTGCTTAGCGAACCTTCAGCTGTTTGTCTCCTGTTGATCTATTCGTGGTCAAGTGGAGGATTCTCAGCATGGATTTCGCTCTTTGACGCAACCTATCACAAATTCTTTTCGGAGAACTTTATCGGAGTAATGAGTTTCTCCGGCATGTTGGCGTACGTTGCTGGTGGTTTAATTTCATCATATCTGACGGACCTTTACTTCAGTCGGCAAATGAAGTATGTGATCTTTTTATGTATAACATGCAACTCTGTCAGCAATCTCATTTTCGTGGCTTCCGCACCAAACAATGATGGGGATTCGTTGTGGACACTCGGTAGGGCGTGGATCGTGGCGGTCACGGCACTGTGTGGATTCTGGAATGGTGCCGCGGCTCCATTGTTTTACGAGCTGATTGCGGAAGTCTCGTTCCCGGTAGATGAGGGTGTGAGCGGCATTGGTGTGTCTGTCTGTGAAAACCTTGGAGCACTAGCCTTTTATCAAGTTGTCTCACGCTTCTACAGGGGACAATCTATGAGCGTCGCGTACTCGTTTGGGATGACAGTAGCCGTGGCTCTCGCGGCTGCGGTGCGACAGAGGTACAACAGATCGTACCATGTGTATATGCTGACGCGTGAACAGCCCAAGGAGGTAGTTGTAGAAAGTTGCGCATCTTCATTGCCATAGGAGAAATAGAAACACTCCGGCAAGCAACATGTTTTTGCTTTTTTTTTTCCTTTTGTTTTTCCCTTTTATGCCTTTGTCCCCCTCTCTGTCTTTATATCCATCTACCTTCTGTTTTATTCGTGTGTATAGGGAGATCTCTTCGCTCAGAATGAATTTCAATTGCGATATGTCTGTCTCTGATGGATGTAGATCTCTGCAACTCTTGGCTAATTTGCTGTGATCGCTTCTAAAGNCCCCCCCCTTTTTTTTTCTTTTTGAAAAGTGTGTCGAGTTTCGACAAAGCTCCCATGTCTAGAAGCAACTCTCCCCCTGAAGATGTTTTGTTTCTCTCCCTTTCTGAGTTCTTTTATTTGGCTATCATATGGCTCGCTTCTATGCGGTAACAGGAGAAAAAACTCTGGATGTCTATGCTCATGGCGGGCATGAAGAAATTCACCGGCCAACATGGCTGCACTCTCTTTATCTCCTCCCCTTTCGTTCTTCCTTTTTGGCTTGTACAGTAGTCGGTCGTGGGCTAGTGGAGACGGAATGAGGCAAACGTTTGCGCGCGGTGCGCCGCGGTACCAACTCTTAGTTCTGCTCCTCTTTGGTCTCACTTACTGTGTCAATATTTTAAACTGGGTGATGTATGTCTACTACAGAAAGGACGAGATTGGGGATGCCGTGACCTCCGCATACCTGGCCTTCTCTATTATAGGCTGGGTTATGTTTTTCTTCTTTGCCTCACCCTTTATATATTGGCCGTACATTTGCGCAGGTGAGATGGCTCCCAAAGCGAGAAGGAACGCCGCATGCCTCGGTGTCACTCTCTGCTTTCTCCTGCATGATTTCCCAATGGAGTGGATTGAGATATACTTGGTGCGGTATCACGGCTGGGGGTACGTTTTTTCAAGTATATCACTCTTCCTCGTGAATATGTGCTTCGCTATTGGGTTTTTTACCACCTGGATCAGTTACAATTGGCTCATCAGCAAGCGGCTGCAGTTGTACTGCAGTGGTACCCTGTTGACGACCCCACCATCGGGGTATATGCCGCCATCTTCAGAGTACTACATGCCTTCTTCGAGGACCTAGAGATGCTTTGTTTGAGTAAGAGATGCAAAGTTATGCCTCAACGAAAGTTCAACTACTCTGTGACCATTGCTGGTGCTTTGATCACAAATTTATTTTGTCGTGTACTTGTTGTGAAGATGGGCATATTTTGCTTTCTCCGTCACCTCTCTATATGTCTGATGGATGAATAGCGAGTCATGTTTTCAGAACTGTGAAAAACGGCTCCACACGCTACATGTGCTCTCGTATGGGCCACCATCGCTGTTATGGCTTGTCGCGCATTTCATTCAAGAGGAATGCATGACGTGTGTTACAGCTGCCTTGTGAGAGGGTCGTGGATGCCAGTTCTTCTTTGTGAGTTTCACTCAAAAAGGTGTACTGCACTGGCTCCTTAGCATGCTCGCTGTGATTTCTTTGGATTTGGCATTATAGAGGTCCATTAGATCAAGCAGATTTCTGGTGTTGTACCTTTTTTGCTTTGTTTAAGGCACAGATTGTGTTTGCATTCTTGAGAGCCTTGTGTCTTTCTCACTGTGTCGTGGGATGTGGTGGCGTAGTTTTTGCGCTTCTTAGCTATATGACACAGGTGAGGAATCAGCTCATCATGGTTTGCGGAGTGTTCAATTTCTCGTGCACGTGCGTTCCGTGGGCAGGCGTATTGTTAACGCGAGTGGTGTTCATCATCGTCAACGTTTCGTTTGTTGTACATTTTTTTTTTTTTGGATGAGCGCGGATTCTACTCCCTCTGTGCGTTGCTTCGTATAGTGATTGCCTCCACCTCAAGTGATATGGATGATTTTGTGTTGAATGGAATTCTTTTGTTTTTCGCGTTAATGCGCGTGACGGTTTGCCAATGGTTTCGCTGCAACCTTCTGTATGCTTTCCCCATAGGGTAGAAATGCTTCGTTACAGCAAGCTTTGTTTCCCAAAAATGGGATGTGAGGAAATCACCCGCAAGGCGAGGCGGGTGCAGATTCGGCCAATGGAGTACATGGCGCAACACCGGATGCAGGTGTGGCAGATGCGTTTCAAGGAGATGGGTCCTCCCTTCTCTAGAGTGTGGGTCGCACTTGGTGGAAAAATGCGGCGGCGGCGTGTCGGCCGACAGGTAGATGTCAAAGATATGCGGTACTACTGGAGGCCCATAGAGCCGCAGTATCAGCGTCTGTACATGTCACGGCTTCGCCTTCATGACCATTCAAACAAAGCGAGACAGCCCATGCGGCTTAGGGCCACCAATCTGGACATTGGGGCAACGAGTAGCTCAATCGAATGGGAAAGGGCCGCTAATAGAAAGTATGGTGCACGGCTAGCTCCACCAAAACGGCCTGATTTTGAGTTCCGCGTTTTTTAAGCCAGCGTCGTTCGCAATGCAAGCCCTTCCCCTTGCAGTCACCTTCACCTTCGGGTATTCAAACGGGGACATGGAGGGGGAATCCTTTTCGTTGTTGCAAAGCCAACCTCTTCCACTCCTTCGAGTGACGGAGGTGCGAGTGTTAGGAAATATGCGTGTTGAACCACATTCTCCACTGGTTTGGATTTACCATCATTCAGGGCCACGCAATATGATCTTGCATAGGGCTGCTTTGGTGTATGTGGTGCAGTTAAGTGCGCTTCCAAAACACTGTGCCGTCACTACTTCCACCTCTAGCCTTTTGCCCTTTCAGACACACGGCGTCGGGGATGTGTCTTGTGGAAGGATGCACAGCGGATTGTATGATGCTCCTTGGAATCCTTGGAAAGACTTGGCGAGCTTGTCCATTTCAGGTAGTAACGTTGGTGATCAGTTGAGAGAAAATGGTTGGTCTTCCTTCTCCCGTCGTGAGTGGGATATTTTTCATGGACGTGCAGTACTGTTTACCTCGTCTGTGAGGGTTCCGCGGTGAAAAAAGTAAAACAGAGAATTATAGCTATGCCGGGACGGCGTAATCGAAGGAGAGTATGGCTGATGAGGTATCCGCCTCAGTGTTGCGGTGTTTGGGCTTACGATAATTATCGGAATGGTGAACTGGGGCTTTTCAACGTACGTCTGCTCTTGGAATAACATTGGAGGTAGAGACAAGTTTGTGTGAAACTGTTTGTTGGGGGTGAAGTACTTGTTGGCATCCTGAGGCGGTGCAAAAATCCACACTATTTGTTTAAGAAGGGCTTCTGACGGAATTGATAGACGATGGAATTTGTTTTGGTAGGATGTATGCGCTTTTTCATGGCGTTGGTTCATTTGTTATTCCGCGTGCCTGCGTAGACAGCGTGGAATGACAGACAATTCACCGTCCTTTCCGTTTCCCTCGGAATAATGTAGTATCCCTCTCTGGTCCTCAGTTCCGATGGTATCCGTTGCATTCAGCATCAGACATGTTTTTTGTTGTTGTTGTTGTTGTCGTTTGAGGTGTGTTTTTACCGGATGAACGTTTGGCTTGCATTAACGGTTTTGGGAAGGCATATGTGTTCTTCATTTTATTTTTTTTCGTTTATTCGTACCACAGCACGCGGAACCGTGCGCACGTCCTGTGAATTATTAGCAAGGAAGGGCGAAGAATTGATGTCTGGACGCGACGTCACTGGTCCTGTCAAGCAGGATGTACGTGTGTTTCAGTCTAGTATTGACACCTCCTCAGTCGTCTCTACCGTATTCAACCAGCCGTCGATGTACATGGGCATTGTCAATATGCTTATCATGTACCTCACTCAGCGCTTTCCAGAGGAGCTAATGTCCCCAAAATACATGACAATGACGTACAACGGCATTCGTGCCCCGGCCATGCTGACCATTCCATTCTGCTGCATTGCGGGGGCATATTTCTCGGTTGCCAGCATCATCAGCACGTCTACGGTGCCTTTGGCTGGCCATTTGTACGGCTACACGCTTAGTCTTGGTGTGGGTCTCACAATGCTGACGTTTCGTCGTGTGTCGTGGTACTACCCGCTGCTGGGTGTTATGTACCTTTCCTTTGGTGGATTTCACCACTACCGGCGCATGATGGTTTATGGCGACAACGCTCCCATCTACAATTGGGGGGACACCACTGAAATTTGGAGCGCGTGGAGGAGGGCTAAACAGGAGAAGAAGCGGCAACGGCAAATGGATAAGAGGTGGATAGACCAGCCGAATCAAGGTAGTTCATAGCGCGCTGCGCGGCGTCGGTAGGTTGAAAACCTTTGTGTGTGCGCGCGTGGTGGAAAAATGAGGAAGGAGGGATGAGAAGATGAACGACCAACAGTGTGTTGCTTCCTGCAGAAACCTGATGTTCTTTGAGTCTCTTCGGCTCTTAATTTTTGTTTATTTTTGAATAAACAATGACTTCTTGGCCTTTTATTTCTCATTGCTTTTTTTTTTTGTTCTGTCGAACAGGAGTAGCAGCAGGAGGAAGAGGAGTAAAACAGGAGGGGACGGTATGTCAACGCTAGAAGACCTGTACGTGTCGTATTGTCGCAGGAGAGGGTGCAAACCGAATAGCTCCCTCTCTCATTACTTGCAGGAGGAGTACGACCGCCATGGCCAGCAACGTGTACTGGAAAGGATTGATCTCTCACAAAATTACGTGGGAAAGAAAGGCATCATCCCTGTGCTGGATCTCGTCAAGAATGTGAAGACGGTGAGGAAGCTGAACACCAGTAATAATATGCTGGAGCATGAGCAGCTGGATCACCTCGTCTATTGCCTCGCCTTGCATCCATCAATGGAAGAGGTAGACATTTCGAACAATTGCCTGCACGACGGAAGCCTCGACCACATTCTAAAGTTGCTAGAGGCGAATAGCAGCATCACCCATGTTGACGCCACCGGGAACGATTTCACGCCTTCATCACTCGCGCGAATAGCCGATAAGTTGGAAAAAAATAAGATACAAAAGGCTGATCGGCAGAAGGATGCGCCGCATCCTGACACAGGGAAGTACTTCCGCGCACAATTGCAGGCCTCACTGGATAGAGAAACCTCCGGAGGCCACACGCACTTCTCCACCTGGTGGAAAAATCCACAGTACATCATGCGCACGTCACGGAGGTCGCGAGTCCGCATCGTCATGGACGTCAGAGATGCCAAGCCGGCGCGGCAGGCCGGGTTTCTCGTCTTCCACACGGACGGAATACGGAAGGTGGTGGAAGCCAGCGCCGATTGCGTCGCCGCGGAGAGCAGCGTCGATCATAGCCACTGCCATGTCACAATGGTGACCGAGGAGGACACGGTGTATGCCATCATGCCGTACACGTTCTACCCTGAGCGTGCCATGGACTTTACACTAACCGCCGAACTCTGCAACGACGACCCGACGGTGGCGGATGGTTGGGTCACGCTGGAGGTGGTTGACCCCGAGCTGGATTGGCTTGTGTACAGTGCGGACGGGGAGTGGACGAGCACCACTGCGGGTGGCTCTCCTGCGCACCACTCGTGGTGTCGCAACCCGATGCTGCGGCTGCAGTACGCGGGATCCACTCACGCGTATCGCATGGCATCACCCGCCACTGTCATGGTGAAGCTTAGCAAGAGTGTAGATCCCGACACAAATGATGACAGACACATTGGATTTGATGTAGTAACACTTGATGCGGCAGGTAATGACAAGCCACCAATCAGTCGCAACGACGAGTATGTGAAATGTACTTGTCCCCATGAACACTGCACAACTGTCAATGCATCTTTTGTGGTGCCGTGCGCTGCGCTTGATTTGTTTGTTGTACCAAGCACGGAGATGCCCGGTGAGTTGGGCTCATACACTGTGACTGTATTCTCCGCTGTACCCCTGACTCTGACGACTTCGGCGTTTCCCCACGGCTGGAACTACCGCGCCGTCACGGGGGTGTGGAACGAATGTAACTGTGGTGGTAGTCGGGAGTACAGCATGTCGTGGAAGTCCAATCCCTCCGCGGCCCTCAGCTTTGACACGAGCCAGTCACCACCAGATATCACTGTTTTCATGGAAAGCTCTCTGCCGCACACCACCCCCTCCACTGCCCATGACAGCAGCACCCAGCCAAGCGCCGAGGAATCAGAAATGACTCTAACAGAGCTACAGGAAAAGAAGGAGCTTCAAGACTTTATGCGTCGGCATCAAGTGGACCATATGGAAGGGTGCGTGTCCATCATCGAAGCCAGTCCACCTTTCTACCGCGCACTGTACTCCTCAGAGTATTCAGGCGGATCTGTGGCTCACCTGGCAGTGCCTCGCGTGGAAGAAGAGTTCTACATACTTGCCACGACACGCTACGCTGGTCAGTTGGGGGATTTTACGCTTCACATTTTTTCTTCTCACCCCTTCGTTGTGGACGGTGTCGAGACATTGGCATTGCGGGAACGCCAGTCACAAATGATGCAATACGCTGAAGAGAACCAGGCCAGACAAGCGGTCAAATCAATGTCAACGGTGACTCGACGTGTGCCAGAAGAGGACGAGGAGATGATCGTCACACGCAACGAGATTCTCCGTCGATGTATGACGACAGGTGAAAAGTATGTAGATCGAGACTTCCCTTGTGGTGGGTCCTCATTATGGTTGGACCCAGAGGCAAAGGCACCTTCAGATTTTCCCAAGCAAATTGTGTGGAGAAGGCCCACAGACCTGAACGAACGTGTCGTGTTTCTCCAGGACTGGAAATGTGATTGCCCCTTCCCATACTCAAGGCGAGATTGGTTTGCCTCAGTCACTCACGCGATTGCCACAAAGCCTGAGTGGATTCAGATTCTGGCTGTTGGATATGACGTAATGAAAGGGATGGCCCAGTTTCGCTTCTTCAAGGATGGAAAGTGGACAGTGGTCACCATCGACGACAATCTTCCCTCCGACAGCACCACAGAGCTTTGCATGGGGCGACCAGCAACAGACAAAGCTGATTTCTTTTTTCCACTCTTGGAGAAGGCCTACGCGAAGCTGCACCGTTGCTACGAGGCTTTGGAGCGAAAGGTAACGCCAGAGTTGGGTGTTGTAGAGGTGATGTGTCAAGGCCTTATGGACCTTTCAGGTTTTATGACTGTTAGCTATCCCCTGAGCGGTAGCAATAAGCTAGTCCAGGAGGAGCAGGACAAAATCTGGATGAAGCTAAAGAACGCTGTTAAGCCTGATGTACTTTTCAGTTTACTGCTTCTAGGTGAAAGCAGTGGGGCGACTGAACGGGGTGGATTGGGGATATTGAGTGATCACCTGTATCCTGTACTGGACGCACGCTTCATTGAAGGTCAGCGGTTAGTCAAGCTGCGCCATTGGGGACAAACAGCAGAGATACAATGGTGCGGGAAGTGGCGACCAAACAGCAAAAATTGGACTGGCACACTCCGGGAGATCCTTCAATTCAAAGAAGAGGATAAGGAAACCTTTTGGTTGAGCTTTGATGAGGTCTTGTTCTATTTCACTAATCTCATCATGACGGCGGGAACGTCAAGCAGCTGCTGGGTATCGGCAGATTTCTCTAATTCTCCAAAATGCTCTGAAGGACGACTTTCTTGTGGATCTCAATTCTCTCTGCAGCTCGGTGATTTTCCACCGGATGTGAAAAAGCTGCAGATTACACTGGGCCTCCATCAGCTGGATCCACGGGCAAGGGTCTTGCGCCACAAGGGAGCGTTAGCGACATACCGCACGGCTATTGGAATGGCTGTTGTGGCAACCGAAGACAACACAGTCTGGTTGAAGGAACTTCAGGAAAATGGTGTGGTACGACGTGTAGAACCATGCAAACGCCGAGATACCTTCTGCCCCTTAATGATTGATATTGAAAATGTCGTTGGAAAGAAACGTTTGACACTCATTGCATTCAAGGAAGACCAAAGAGCTCCAAACGTCACTTGTCTTTTGTCAGCATGGTCGGAGAGCTGCAGCGTTGCACTCGTACCGATGGAGCGAGACACTAGAATAACCGTGGATGGTGAGTGGCCAAGTGGTTTCCCCATCGGACCCCCTTTTTCGTCCTCTTGGCGAAATTGCCCGCAGTACTTTGTTTTTCCGAGTCAATCGACAGATGTCTCTCTCTTCCTTCGCCAGGAGGTGCCGGTTGGTCAGCCCCCGAAGCCCATTGGTTTTACTGTTCACCGTGCCACGGCATGTCGTAGTTACCTTGAGTATGACCCAGAAACGGTAATTCTGCTCGTGAAGGCTGAAGCATCTCCCTTTGTCGGAGGGACGGTGCGACTCTTTGGTATGAAGGAAAGAAGAGGGATGCCGTATATTATTGTGCCGTTCTGCACGGACCCCGTTCCTGGAGGAAAGTTTCACATTGAGACTGTTGCGAACCGTTCGTTGAAGCTCTGCCGCATAGACCCGAGGCTTGATTGGTGTCGTGAAAGACAAAATGCGTCCTTCTCGTTGGCTGATGGAAGTGTTGGTGGGTCGCCGCGTTTCTCGTCGTGGCGCAGTAGCCCGCAATTTGCCCTTACATTTCCTTTGGGGGGTCAGGGGCGGGTTTTCATTGCCACCACAAACGATAACGCGAATGACACACTGACAGAGATAGGAATGCTACTGGTTCAAGGAGACAACCAGTGGGAGAATGGACAGCGACGGAAGTTAGTCATTTCCCCCGAGGACATTATTGCTCGCTCTGAGGAAAAGATTGGTGAAGTGTCGATTGATTGTCAGGTCGATGTGCTTCCAGGATGCAGTCTCGTTCTCATCGTGTACGCCAGCATGCCATACCGAGAGGCTGACGTGACGGTTGACTTTTTTTCTGCATCTGCAATGGAAGTGAGTCGTGTGAAGGAGTGGCAGCAGGTCGCAATGGTGGAGGGTAGCTGGGAGCTCGGCTACACAGCTGGTGGTGGAGCAGAGGCATTTGGCAACTGGATCAACAACCCGTTCTTCGCATTGAACACATTTCGTCAGACGCAAATTGTGGCACTTCTGCTGCAGTATCCCCGTGGGCCTGAAAAGCCGATTGTGAAGAGGGCAGGAAAGAAAAAGGCGTTATTGCCTCCCATCATAATCAATCCAAACAACAGAATGGAGATTGCTGTTGATTTAAACGCTCAGGACAGTGAACTGACACCCATCGCCACTACTCCCTACACCCGGAACAGTGAAGTGACGCTGGTTGCGTCTGTACCTTCCGCGGATTCACTTCCTTTCGTGTTTGTCCCCCACACCAAGTTTCCTGAAGGGAATGGCGATTTCAAGCTCTTCGTGTACGCTGATTCTATGATCGAGTTGAACCCCCTCTCTAAAGAACGCATACCTTACGTGTGAGAGGGGATATGTAAAGAGATGGCCGCAGCATGTATATGCGTTGCCTGCTCGGCAAAGGATGTAGTTTGACCTGAAAGAAAAAAAAGTGACTGTGTGCACCATCAGTCGTGTTCCTTATTGTTATTATTATTATTTTTTTGGTGTATGTCGTTGTCATGGTGGTGATTGTGGTGCTGAACACTATGGAAGCGTTTCTCTTTTAGGTGAGGCGAAGATTGAGGAGAACAAAAGGGGGATATTGCTCTACGGTGAGGCGTCCTAGCCTACGCTTTCCGTTTTATCACTCTTCCTTGCTTCTTTCTTTTTTCCCTTCCTTCCTGCATTCTGCATTTTCCTTCATTATATATATATATATATATATATATATATATATACTCCCTCGTCCCTTGCTTCACCGCAGTGCACTCTGTAGAGTCATCAACAATGATGCGGCGCACCGTTGCGGCGCTGGAGAAGCTCGTTATAGTGGAGTCGCCGAACAAGGTGATAAAGATTGAGGGCCTTCTGAGCGACCCGAACGTCATCCCCGACTGGTCGTTCAAGCAGGAACACCTCAAGCATGTCGGCGTCGGCACCGAAAAGGCGGTGGCGATGGCGACTACCGGGCACTTCATGGGACTCAAGGAGATCCGGTGGACCCCGCGCAGCGTTCCGGCCGTGGAGGAGGGCGACGAGCCTTTTCCACCGAATGGGACCCTTGCCGACTTCACACTCGAGTGGCAGCTGCTTCCGGGGCGTCGCATACAAGAAACGTTGGAGCGCTACTTGCAGGAGAAGGTAAACAACGTGACGGAGATTATACTTGCGACCGATCCGGATCGTGAGGGAGAACTCATTGCCGTCCACGCCCTTCAGACAATAAAACGGCTGTACCCAAAGCTCAAAGTCCCCTATTCTCGTGCATACATGCACAGCATCACAGAGGATGGTATTCGAAAGGCCATGAAGGAGCGTCACATGGAAAGGTGTGATTATGATCTTGCAAATGCCGCTGAGACACGCCACGCCATGGATCGAATCTTTGGGTTTCTGGGGAGCTCTGTGGTGCGGGCTGCCAATGCTCAAATGCGCTCCATTGGTCGTGTGCAGACTCCTGCGCTTATTCTCATAAACGAAAGGGAAGAAAAAATTGCTTCGTTTTTGGAAAAAAACAAACCGACGTACATTGTCGAAGCGATGTGTCAGTTTCCAGGCGCGCACGCCACAACTTTCTCGCAGGTTGTCAGCATCCACCCCGACCGCAAGGGGGATTCAGCCAGCTGGAGCACCGAGGCGGAGGCGAAGCGGTGCTTGCAAGCATGGAAGATGAATAGCTGCGGTGGCTTCAGCGTCCCTCAAGGGTCAGTCATTATCCCATCCGAGGTGCCGCCACCGCAGCCATTCACAATGGCTACCGCGATTGCAAAGGCAAACCGTCAGCTGAAGATGAGCAGCGAGACGGTCAGCAGCTGTCTTCAGGACTTGTTCCAGCAAGGCCACATTACTTACCCTAGAACTGATAGCACCCGCATTGACGACGGTGCCCTGTCTACTATATACGATGCGATCAAGAAGAATTTTGGTAAGGAGTACCTCTACCGTCTTGAAGATCGGGCAACAAAAGTTCAGGAGACCAAGAAGACCAAAAAGCCTGCAAAGAGAAAATCCACCAAGCACAGCAGTGATGTAGAGCGTCCTGTCGGAAATGTGGAGGATGCCCATGAGGCTATCCGTCCAACAAACATTTACGCTGATGGCAACTCTCTCTCACTACCCCCACACACAAAGGCTGTTTACGAGCTCGTGAGGAGAAATACTCTGGCAGCCTTCATGATTCCCATGAAGAGTGAGAAGATTGCGGCGACTGTGAAGTTTACCAGCGGTAGCGGGGAGAAGCTGTGGACGCTGCTGGAAGGCAAACGTACCGCAGAGCCGGGGTGGACACGCGCATTCCAGAAAGGTGACACCGCCTCCTCTTCTTTGGCTTCCGCCAACGCTGCCAGCACCAATGTTGAGGACACTGATGATATGACAGAGAAGGAGGGTACGCCTGNCCTCCTCTTCTTTGGCTTCCGCCAACGCTGCCAGCACCAATGTTGAGGACACTGATGATATGACAGAGAAGGAGGGTACGCCTGTTGTTCGCTCTCTTTCACAAGAGGAGTTTGAAGCTATCGCCAATTTGCGCAACGCGTTGAATTCCTCAAAGCTGTCGCAGTTGTTTGAGGTGCGCTCTCCTACTGTTCGTGAGAACCGCCCAATGCCGCCACTGCCGCACTCGGAGGGCTCGCTCATCGAAGAGCTGAAGAATAACGGTGTGGGTCGCCCAAGTACGTATCCGATGATAGTGAAGACACTCTTGACGCGGGGCTACATTCAGGTGAACGCCAAAGGGCGCTGCGAGACAACACCGATTGGACGGTTGCTGGTGTCGGCGGCGAAGTCAACCTTCCCGTCGATTGTTGACATCGGCTTCACTGCATCCTTCGAGAAGAAACTTGACCTCATTGCAAAGCCGATCCCTACGAAGCGACCAGCTGTCCTTCGAGGAATGAGCGTGTCTCAGGCTGACTACGTGCTCTCTGTGTTCCTCTCGACATTCCTCAACTATGTTGCAGAGGCCACGCGAGCACAACGCGCTCGCATCGTGGAGCGCTCCATGCGGCTGAAACACGAGCAGGAGGGTGCGTCAGATATGGANGAGGCCACGCGAGCACAACGCGCTCGCATCGTGGAGCGCTCCATGCGGCTGAAACACGAGCAGGAGGGTGCGTCAGATATGGATGAGACAGAGTTTGAGGAGAGTGTCGCGAGTGCCAAGAAGAAAGTAGCGCTTGCAACTGGCGACTTAACAACACTACCAAGAACCCATCATACCTTCACGGCTCTGCAGCGCGGCTTAAACGATTACCTTCGCCGCCACTTTCCACCTGCGCATGTAAACTCATCTTCTGGAGGAGATGTCGGTGCTGGCCAGAGTAACATCAACAGCAAGAAAAGTAACGGTTTCAGTTGCAGTGCAGAAAACGGCGACATCGACGGTGACAACAGCACGGCGATGACGGATGATGCATCAGTGATGCCACCACCACCACCACCACCACGACGGAGGTCTGAGAAGAGCAGAGGGTCATATTGATGTCTTGCGTCTTCTTTTGGGTCATAGATAATAGAGAGCCGCTGCTGCTGTCATTGCAAAAGAAAGAAAGAGAGAGAGAGAAAGAGAGAGAGAGAGAGAGAGAGAGAAAGAAAGAGAGAGAGAGAGAGAGAGAAAGAGAGAGAGAGAGGAAGGAAGGGAAGGAGGGAGGGAGAGAGATGAAGAGAGAGGGATACAGCAGGTGGCACTGCCATTTTTGTCTGTAGGCTTCTATATATATATATATATATCTGTATATATATACATGGCTCTGTGTGTTTTCACAGTTACTCCGAACGGAGAGAAACAACGGTAATGCAACGTAACCTGGAGATTGTTGAGGGGGAAACAGGCGAGCGTGCCGTGCGATACAGAGGTACTATCAAAGCCAATCCTGAAGCCCCCAAAAACCCTCAACGTGTGAGGACACACTTCCATTTCGTACGACAAACCGATTGAAAGAGGGTGATGGTGAATGGAGTAGGAGGAGGAGAGTGAGCCTTCATCCCTGCATGTGCGCGGAATTCCCCCCCATCTTGTCACCTATGTTGAAGTGCAAATAGACTGAAAATACACACAAACACACACAAAGTAAGGAATGAAGGCGTCGGTTAGGGAACTTTCGCTGATGGTATTGGATGAATACTGCGTGTTGTGTAACGTCTGGCTCGCGGGCAGTGCGGCACAGCACGCTTGTGGTGATAAACACGTTAGGTGGAGCGATGCGATAGAGGCCGTCTTTCGTGGCACGGCCCCAGCGGCGTGCGTGCTGGCAGCTGCGCTTCTTCAACAGGAGCTAGAGACCCAGGTGCGAGCACACTACTGTCTCTATTGCCGCAAGCCTGTGGGAAGTGGCTTTCGCCATACCGTTCAGCACCTTAACAGCAGACACCACTGCCGGCAGCACGCGCATCCGCCTCTTTCGGCAACCTCGGTGAAGAATACAAGGGAACCACTGCTCACTGACGGTCTTGTCCGCGACGTGTTCTGTCCCTTGTGCGATTGTGTGGTTCCTACACAGCCTGAGCGGCATTTACTCTCTGGCCGGCACCAGCNAAATTCGAAAGGCGCGAATTCCTGCGAGACGCTGGCGCAAGCGGTGCGGACGAAGCGAGATGCATGGTGCGAGTTACTCCAGCCACTGCATGGCAGCATATGCTGTTCATGTGTCGAGTACGTCCCTGCGAAGGAAATCATGCGACACTTCGTGTCGGCTCGACACAAAGCGGCCCACTCTTTAGCGTCAACGGCGCAAGACGATGTGGGATGTCTGCGCCTTTTCCTGGATGCAGCACAACAGTATACCTCGGATGGCTATTGCGCTGTTTGCGACGCCACCCTGAAGTCGTCAACGACTCAGCACACAAGGGGGAAACACCATGCTATGGAAATGCTGCGTGCCCATTGCGATCCTACGAAATCGCGGGAGCTGTGGGGGGAGAGGTGGGTCGCCTTTACGCGCAAAAGACAAAATAAATGTACGGGAACGAGCCACAAACTGCAAACGGTAAAGATGCCGTCTCCACTGCTGTATTCAGAACACAGTGACGTGCCCACTGGTGCCGAGGTGCCAACAAACGGGTGCCTGCAGCCTGCTTTGGAGCGCCGCTCTCTTGCCGAAATGCCGTTCCTCTTTTTTTGCCTCAACGGTCACTGCCTCTTGTGCGGCATCGACCTGACGCCGCAGGCAATAGGCCTGGTGGCAACACCGGTCTGCAAAGATCACTGCCGCACTCAGGGGCACCAACGCGCCCTCGACGATTTTGTCTCCCAGCAAGGAACAGCAGGTCCTGGGGACGCAGCAGCGGCCTGGGCGGTGCGCTGGTACGAGGCGGTGCTTCACTCGCTGCGTGCACACCCTGGTTGGCACGAACCCGCCGAGTGCACGGGCCTTCACACAAGTGTTGACTTTTTGGAGATACTCAAGGACGACCATCGAGCTGTCGTATTCGCCGACGCTCTCTGCGTCACCGCCACTCCCACCGGTTCGGTATGAGGCACCTGCTTGCAGTCTTAAGTTTTCTCCATTCTTCTTATAGTGGGTGTCTTAATTGTTTGTTTTGTGTGTCTCTTTCACTCTCTTTTCTTTCTCTCACTGCGTGCGTGTTGCGTGGCTTCTGTGTGCGTTTCTTTCATTGGTCTCCCTTGTAATGCATTGCCTGCAGCGAGAGTTTGAGTGATACTTTGGTAGGATGGCAGAGCGACGGCAGCCACGTGTGCTGGGCGCCAAGCGGACGATCGCCGACGTGCTTGGCGAGAAGGTGGCGGGTAACGAGAAACAACTGCAGGGGCTAATCATGCGTGTCGTGGCTGGCACCGTGGACGAGAGCGTCACATTGGAGCAGCTGGAGCACGTTGTCGCCTTCTACGCGAGTCATAACAGCGAATACACACGGGCGGGGGAAGACGACATTCAGGTTCTCACGGCAGAGATCCTGAACAATTCCATCCGTTCTGTAATGGTATTCGGCGACTTTTCTCCTGCCTTTAGTGACGTTGAAGTGTACTCTATCTCTGTCGCAATGCAGTACAACTTGTCGTTAGAAGCGTTAACGATAAACGGCGTGAACGTGAGCGATGAGGCGGTGTCTATGTTGTGTGAGGCGCTCGTCAAGTCACGTGTGAGTTTCATTGATCTGTCCAACGCCCCACTGGAGGATGAGGCGGGGCGCTCATTGGCTGCGCTGGCGCACGTGAATCCGTATGTGCGTACAGTTGTTCTCGACGATACACTCATAGCTGAGGAGGTGCTTGACGAGATTGACGTCGCATGCCAATTCAATCAGAGTAACTTCGAAGGGAACGGCGAGAAGGTTGACATTAGGAACGGGGCCGAAGTGGCGCGACTACGGCACCGCCTGCAACACGTCATTCGGGCAAAGCACAGTAATACGTATTACTGCGTTGCCCACCTGCTGGGGATGTGTCCCAACGGCGATCTCTGTCTCTATTCGCACTCTCCCATGACATCAGGGGCGCCCGACGCGAACGCCAATCTCCACGAGCGCATCGCCGACCTCTTTGCTGGTGGGGGAAAGTGGCAGGAAAAACTCCCACTACCACCCCGGGAGGGGGCGTCATGGAAGAGCCCGGACGAGCAGGAGGGATACACGCTACGGCTCAACATGGCGAAGCGCAAGGCAGTGAAGAAGCGCAGCGATATTGCCGGTGCTGCTGGAGCACACGACAAGGCTGACGGGTGGCGTGGATCACTTCGTGTGGTAGGTACATCTCTAGTGGTGTTGGTTGCTGCTGTTACTGCCACCGCACTGTGGACCTTGCGGAGGCGGGGCGGCGAGAGCGCTGTGCGGATTTTGTAGGGCAAGTAGTGCTGCATCGATCGAAAGCGTATCGTAGCATGGGTTCTGTTGAAGATGTGTATGTTGTCCTTTAATCTATGTCTTTTAATGCCCTTTGCTTTTTTTTTTCTCCATCTTCCTTCTCACTTGGAGATTTCCTGACTGGTTTCTACGCAAGAATCATCATTTAAAGAAAACACCGANATCGAAAGCGTATCGTAGCATGGGTTCTGTTGAAGATGTGTATGTTGTCCTTTAATCTATGTCTTTTAATGCCCTTTGCTTTTTTTTTTTCTCCATCTTCCTTCTCACTTGGAGATTTCCTGACTGGTTTCTACGCAAGAATCATCATTTAAAGAAAACACCGAAAAACACTGTGAAAAATGGCTGGATCAGGGCACGACCAGTCAACTGACATTTTCTCTGCCGATGGTCGGGTTTTCCAGGTTGAATACGCCTGCAAGGCGGTTGACAATAGCAGCACCGCCATCGCCGCCTGCTGCAAGGACGGCGTCGTGGTTGCAGTGGAGAAAATCCTCACCAGTCGCATGCTGGAGGAGCGGTCCAATGACCGCATCCATGTCGTAGATCGCCAGGCTGGTCTCTGCATCTGTGGCATGCTTCCAGATGGCCGCGCAGTCGTCTCACGAGCCCGTGCGGAGGCGGAGAACAGCCGAGAGGTGTTTGCTGCCCCGATCCTGGGCTCAGTGCTGGCTTCTCGCATTGGGGAGTTCATGCACGTCTACACCACGCACTACGCATTTCGCCCTTTCGGCTGCTCTGTCATCATCGCATCGTACGCCGATGATGGGCCGCAGCTCTTTGTGTCGGATCCGAGCGGGACAGTGGCCGGCTACTACGGCATAGCGTTGGGGAAGGGCAAAACTGTTGCCAAGACGGAGCTGGAGAAGCTGAACTTCAAGACACTGACCTGCGATGAGGCGGTAGTGAAGCTCACCAACATTCTGTACGAGGTGCACGATAAGACGAAGGACAAGCTGTACGAGGTGGAGGTGGCGTGGGTCTGCGACAGGTCCGATCGCGTGTTTCAGCACGTCCCGAGTGCGATGATCCCGAAGCCGCCTGCGGCGCAGTAGTGATGCAAAGAAGATGAGGAAAGAGACAGCAAGGACGAGAGAGAGAGAGAAAGAAAGAGAGAAAGAAGGACAAATACAATGCCTGTGAAGCGAAGAAAGGGATTTGGGAGGAACGGCTTGCCCCTGTTGTTGCTTTCTTGATAGGAGATGTTCTTTTATTCTGTTTGGACGTTCCTCTGCCCTTCCTGCCTCGAAGGACGGAGGAATTCACGCGCAGGTGGGTATGCGTGGTCCTGCAGCACGCCACCATAGTGTATGCCTGGCTTTCTGCTTTCTTTTTCTTATGACTCCCAGACTGCCCTAGAAGAAACGGCCAGCTGGGTTTTAGGGCTTCCTGAAAAAAAAAAAAAAAGAAATAATTATCGGAGCGCAGTGACATCTCCCTCAGCTTGTTGCCTTTCGGCCACCAGCATTCGAATGGGACGACATGAGCCACACGCTGTGTGACATTTGGAGAGCAGAGCTAGGAGTGTGCTTGGGGTGCTGGCGTTGCTCCTACTTGCGGTGATGTGATAACCCTTGGATGGCAGTCTGCGACTGTGGCGAATGTGAACCGGCGCTCTGTTGGGACCGATGTGTGCTTTACGCCACTGCGGCTCTGTCTTTCCTTTGATTGCGTATGACTATTTGTTTGCTTTTTTTTTTCTTTGGTGTTTGTTATCTTCCTTACAAGCGTAAAGTGAGGAAAAAGGGACACGGTAAGTGCTGCAGCGCTGGCATTAAGCTTTTTGGGCGGCGGGGGCTAGTTGTCAGATGGTTCTGCGTCGCGTGCCGGTCCGCTTCGGTGTGCACCGTGTGGGCTACACGCACCCAAGCAGCCTTCCTGTGCCGTGCGCGCAGCGGTGGGACTTGCGGTTGGCGCGTGCTCGAATATTCCAGGAGTATATCGAGGAGAAGGCGCCAGGCGCGTGGCAGTTAGAGGATGAGCGGTCCATGTCACCAGAGTTCAAGACCTTTACAGGTTATCCGATGCGGGATATGCGGCCGGGGTATGGACAGAATTTGCCAGACTTCATTATGAAGAAGCGCTTGCCGAACAACACACATTATGAACTGTTCGCCCGCCGAGACATCCCCAACGAAGACAACGCCATGTATGGGAAGTATCTCTACGACATGACGGTGCACGGTACCTCTCTTCCTTCCACGTACAGGATGCACAAGGACATTAACAAGGCTCAACGCAACGATAGGAAGCTATCTGGCAACCGCTTCAAGGTGCTTTGCTCATCTGGGGCGAAGAATCCGCCGTCACGGTGGGAGCCGCTTCCCGATGCGACAGATGAGGAAGAATAGTAGTGTGTGGGGTGATGCAGCTGTCGAGCATTTTGGTGCGAGGGTGCGGTACAAAAAAGTTCGCAGATGGACGGTACGTTTGTATGTGTGTGTGTGTGTGTGTGTGTGTGTGTGTGCGGCGACAAAGCCCTGCTTTTTGGATGCCAACCAGTCGATTGTTTTTTTTTTGGTTTGATGCCAATGCCCTTTTTTTGTGTTTTCTTCGCGACGTGTTGGCGGCGCGGAGTTCCTGATAATCCCTCATGCTGTGGCCGTGCATTTTTCTTTCGTTTGCTCTTGCTGCTGGGGCTATGTAGCGTAAGCGCATGCTCGCAATCCACGACTGGAAAAGGGACTGGGTGACCGAAGGTCATGCGCAGCGGCAGTATTTTGCCAGGAATTCCCTCCAACGCAGCTTTCGCGGGGATTCACAGCGTCGTGTGACGTCGTCTTCGGCTCCTTCCAGTGTAGCGGTGGTGGATTGCTGCTGGGCCCGCGGCCATCGCACGGGCGGCACGCCTTCCACAGTCGTCTCACCCCTTGCCTCTTGTCTTTTCTGCGCCCTTTCGGGGGGAGGTGTGTGCATTCTTAACACCACCAATTTCGCCAAGACGTACCTGTTCGAGGGCGACGCACAGCAGCGACAGGGCCGCAAGGATGACCGGGGCCAGAAGAAGGACGCGCCGCAGCAGCATGACGGGAGGCGGGAGCGGCTGGTGGCAATCGACTGCCAACTCGTCGCGCGCCGGACGGTAAAGGAGGAGGCGGTGCCACGGACTGCGGCAAAGGGGGCAACCACCGGTGCGGCGGACGAATCGGTGGCGCTCGTGTGCGCGGTGGTGGATGGGTGGCTGTGCACGTTTGCCGTCGACGCCGATGCCGTC